TCAAATAATCATTCAAATGTTGAACGTGTGAATGATGCATATACAGCTTTGCAGACCTGTTATGTAATGGGTAACGAGAGTGTGTTCACCAACATATCACCAACATATCCATTCTCATTTAATCATTTGTCCGGGTTTGCGACGATCTCTGACAGGCCCTGTTATTGGAACTGGCCATATTGCTCAGCGAGACAAGGATGACACGTTGGGAGGTGAATAGCTCTAAACACCAGCCCTTACAGATAATACAAATTGTGCGGAAATTATACGGCCCCCAAATTTTTAGACCTAATTCTGATAAAGTGAACACCGCATCAGTGAAGCTTTTCGTCATAGTGGACAAGAATCATTAAAATCAAGACCAATCAGAAAATCTTTGCGATGACCGACCGAGTCCTTCCTGATTGGGCCTCATCAGCACTGCGCGCTCATTTTGTGTCCCTGTCAGCCAGCGAACCGCGAACATCCACTGTTGAAAAATTCAAACACTGATTCAGTATACGGGTCATATTCATGTTTATTTGGTGATCTCAGCCTGCCAGATGACGCATACCATGGAGCGACGCGTTGCGGTTTTAGGACAACTGTGATTAATCAAGCTTCATAGGTGGTGATGTCAGCAAAGCGCGTGCGTGCCACGACTTCCGGACTAAATACCATAGGTCGAATATACCAGCCAAGCAGAAACAGTGTGGCCCAGACAGAAGCTGAGCAACGATAGAAATACTAGAACACGAATGGGAAAGGGCCCGGATGACCAATCGGTTTGTTTTGCACATATTATTTATTCCCCCTTATTTCTTTCAATAAACGAACTATTACTTCTGTGGCCTTTTCCTCGCGTCTCGGTTACGTGGGATATTGCGTGCTGGTGCTAGTGTGATCCAGTGCGTGATTTCTGAAGCGTGATTCGTATTTGGAGTTCAGAGCGTACTACTAATACAATGACTGCAGTGTATTTCCAAATGAAGTAACATAGGAGTATTGGAACGGTGCAATCCTTCCCGGAGTTGAATATAGTCCATCACGTTTGCTTCGAAACACCTTTTCTGCATTTGGATGGCCAGCGTTTCACAAGCCGTGGTTGGTGCTAGCATTTAATGGCTTTGCTTACATACTAACCGCGAGTCCAGTTAGAAAGCCATAGAACTCTGTTTTTTGGAAAATATCCTCTTTTGGTTCACCATTCCCACAGTCTATTGTTATGTACCCGAACAAAATGATTTATTTCTTTTCTATGCTACGTCAGCTGGTATGTAAATTATTCAAATCGAGCAGACTAAGCTGCCGCTTGTCACAAGTTATTACTCACTCTCTCACTGAATCGCGCTGACACTTGCACGACGGTATCCCACGTAACTGAGACGCAAGGAAAACGCCACAGGAGTAGTGTGTTTATTGAAACAAATAATGGGGTTTAAATATGTACAAAATAGGTTCATTGGTCATCCAGGCATCTAATAATCTCGTGCTTGTATTCTTGTCTTAGCACAACTTCTGTTTGGGCCTCACGGCCTCTGATTGGCTGGTACAATCGTTCTATGGTTTGCAGTCTAGAAGCTGTAAGGCGTAGACGCCTTGACGAGGTCATCTGAGAATCTGGATTCACCGCAGTTATGCGAAGACTGTAACGCGTCGTTCCGTGATGTGCGTCATCTCGTAAGCTAGGATCATCACAGAGTGTTCTTTCATATGTCACTCCATCGGAAAACCCACGGATTACTAATGGAAACATTAGGTCCCTCCCTTTATCCCCGACGTTAGAACGGAGCGAGAAAGGACAAAGATGCTGCGAGATTTGAACATTTCTTTCCATCTCCTCAGACGCTACAACCTAAAACAATTTAGTATTTATAAAAAAACTTTTTGAAAACTGCAACAGTGGATAAGCAGATAGCACTCAGCGGAGCGCGGGGTGGGATGGAGTGAATCAGAATCAGTGCCATGGGAATTTGGCTGATTGCGTCAGAAACTTTGGAACACACAAAACAGGATTACGTAACTTGATTCACATCGCTTCACTGAAGGCTGGCAGCCTGCGATTCATGTTACTTAACACAAATTCTGATTTCCAACGCCCGCCCCACCACTTCCCCCTGCTTGTTTTCCGCTTATACACTGCGATATCTATCAAAACTTCATTGTATAAATACCAGATGGTTTTACGTTGTAGAGACTGAGGAGATTAGGAGAAGTGTTAACATCGCGGATTATTGGCCTTCTCTCCGTTCAAATGAAACATCATCCTTATAAAACCAATCATGAATGGGGCAATACATCAATTGCCTCAACTGTTCCACAAAAGCCTATTCTTATTCCGGCGTCGTGCACGGTATTTCCGTAGAGAATTCACGGACGTACGATAAAAGTGCGAGGCGCATGAACATTTTTATTGCAGATATAAACTGAAATTCGATTTGTTTAGCCTGAAACAAGCATTGAGCCAAATCAAGAACCTCCGAATAAAGAAGCTACAGATTAAACCGCTATTCAAGTCCGAAGGTCTGTTTGAAGTCAGTTTGGCCTCACGGCAGCTATCTGTGGTGGTCTGAAGAGGCAGGAATTACGCATCACGAATCACGGCCGTAAATTAAGCACAGAATCCCACAAGCAATCGTCACCGAGAGGCAGGAAAAGGGCCCCAGAATTCGCGGTACATCATTGGTGGGAATTAACGAGATGAAATAATAAGCAAATTGAAATANAATATCATTAGTCAAACAGGAATCTACCAATCACCGTCCTTATTCTTCGAGTCACACGATTTCTGTTTGAACTGCATGGACGTTGATCGATCGATACTGTTAGCCCGCGGACTGAAGTCCAGAAACTGGATCATGTAGATGTTCGGCTGGCGTCGTCTCAGAGAGTTGACTCATCACAGTATACCTGGCACGGCATGCATATTCACAGGCTCGTCAGTCACGAGGAGCAGCCCCGGCAAAACAGTCTCTCTACCTTTGTGTCAGTTTTAC